AAAGAAAATGCAAGAAGTCACCAACTCCATCAAAAGACCAAACGTGAGAATCATAAGCATCGAAGAAGGAAAAGAGGTACAAGCGAAGGGAATGCGTAATATATTCAACAAAATAATGGAAAATTTCCCAAATCTAGAGAAAGATATTCCCATACAGATGCAAGAGGCCTCCAGGACACCAAACAGACCAGATCAAAATAGAACTACCCCACAACATATCATCATTAAAACAACAAGTTCAGAAACTAAGGAAAGAATATTGAAGGCTGTAAGAGAGAAAAAACAAGTAACATACAAAGGTAAACCCATCAAAATCACAGCAGACTTCTCAACAGAAACATTAAAAGCAAGAAGAGTGTAGGGTGAGATCTTCCGGGCACTGAATGAAAATAACTTCAACCCCAGGATACTCTACCCAGCAAAACTATCATTCAAAATAGATGGAGCAATAAAAGTCTTCCATGATAAGCAGAAACTAAAACAATATGTGACCACAAAGCCACCACTACAAAAGATTCTGCACACAGAAAGTGAAACCCAACTTAACCATGAAAAGACAGGCAGCACCAAACCACAGGAAAAGAAAAAGCAAGACAGTAGAGAGTAACCTCAATTAGGTACACACAATCAAACCTTCAAACAACTAAGACAACTAAATGACAGGAATCACCACATACCTATCAGTACTAACGCTTAATGTTAACGGACTTAATTCACCCATCAAAAGGCACCGCTTGATGAAATGGATTAAAAAGGAAGATCCAACAATTTGTTGCTTACAGGAGACCATCTCACTGACAGAAATAAGCATAGGCTTAGGATGAAAGGCTGGAAGAAGATTTACCAAGCCAATGGCCCCCGAAAACAGGCAGGAGTAGCAATACTTATCTCTGACAAAGTAGACTTCAAACCTACATTGATCAAACGAGATAAAGAAGGACATTCCATACTAATAAAAGGGGAAATAGACCAAAAGGAAATAATAATTCAACTGTATGCACCCAATGTCAACGCACCCAATTTCATCAAACATACCCTGAAAGACCTAAAAGCATATATAAACGCCAACACAGTGGTTGTGGGAGACTTTAACACCCATTATCATCAATAGATAGGTCATCCAAACAAAAAATCAATAAAGAAATCCAAGATCTAAAATATGCAATAGATCAAATGGACCTAGTTGATGTCTACAGAACATTTCATCCAACTTCTACACAATATACATTCTTCTCAGCAGCCCATGGAACCTTCTCCAAAATAGATCATATCCTAGGGCACAAAGCAAGCTCAGCAAATATAAGAAAATAGAAATTATACCGTGCATACTATCTGATCACAATGCAGTAAAAGTAGAACTCAACAACAAAAGTAAAGACAAAAAACATGCAAACAGCTGGAAACTAAATAACTCATTACTTAATGAAGAATGGATCATCGATGAAATAAAAGAGGAAATTAAAAAGTTCCTGGAAGTCAATGAAAATGAAAACACAACCTACCGGAACCTATGGGACACAGCTAAGGCAGTCCTGAGAGGAAAGTTTATAGCCATGAGTGCATATATTAAAAAGACTGAAAGATCCCAAATCAATGACCTAATGATACATCTCAAACTCCTAGAAAAACAAGAACAAGCAAATCCCAAAACAAATAGAAGGAGAGAAATAATAAAAAAGAGCTGAAATCAACGAAATAGAAACCAAAAAAACCATACAAAGAATTAATGAAACAAAAAGTTGGTTCTTTGAAAAAATAAACAAGATCGATAGACCCCTGGCAAACCTGACTAAAATGAGGAGAGAAAAAACCCAAATTAGTAGAATCAGGAATGCAAAAGGGGAGATAACAACAAACACCATGGAAGTCCAGGAAATCATCAGAGACTACTTTGAGAACCTATATTCAAATAAATTTGAAAATCTTAAAGAAATGGACAGATTTCTAGATACATATGATCATCCAAAACTGAACCAAGAGGAAATTAATCACCTGAATAGACCTATAACACAAAATGAAATTGAAGCAGCAATCAAGAGTCTCCCCAAAAAGAAAAGTCCAGGACCTGATGGATTCTCTGCTGAATTCTATCAGACCTTTAAAGAAGAACTGATACCAACCCTCCTTAAACTGTTCCATGAAATAGAAAGGGAAGGAAAACTGCCAAACACATTTTATGAAGCCAGTATTACACTTATCCCAAAACCAGGCAAAGACACCTCCAAAAAGGAGAACTATAGGCCAATCTCCTTAATGAACATTGATGCAAAAATCCTCAACAAAATAATGGCAAACCGAATTCAACAACACATCAAAAAGATTATTCACCACGACCAAGTAGGCTTCATCCCAGGGATGCAGGGGTGGTTCAACATACGAAAATCAATAAACGTAATAAACCACATTAACAGAAGCAAAGACAAAAACCACTTGATCATCTCAATAGATGCAGAAAAAGCCTTTGATAAGATCCAACACATTTCATGATAAAAGCTCTAAGAAAACTAGGAATAGAAGGAAAGTACCTCAACATTATAAAAGCTATATATGACAAACCTACAGCCAGCATTATACTTAAGGAGAAAAACTGAAACCATTCCCTCTAAAATCAGGAACCAGACAAGGATGCCCACTATCTCCACTCCTATTCAACATAGTACTGGAATTCCTAGCCAGAGCAATTAGGCAAGAAGAAGGAATAAAAGGAATACAAATAGGTAAAGAAACTGTCAAAATATCCCTATTTGCAGACGACATGATCCTATACCTTAAAGACCCAAAAAACTCTACTCAGAAGCTTCTAGACATCATCAATAGCTATAGCAAGGTAGCAGGATATAAAATCAACATAGAAAAATCATTAGCATTTCTATACACTAACAATGAGCAAACTGAAAAAGAATGTATGAAAACAATTCCATTTACAATAGCCTCAAAAAAAATCAAATACCTAGGTGTAAACCTAACAAAAGATGTGAAAGACCTCTACAAGGAAAACTATACACTTCTGAAGAAAGAGATTGAGGAAGACTATAGAAAGTGGAGAGATCTCCCATGCTCATGGATTGGTAGAATCAACATAGTAAAAATGTCGATACTCCCAAAGTAATCTACATGTTTAATGCAATTCCCATCAAAATTCCAATGACATTCATTAAAGAGATTGAAAAATCTACTGTTAAATTTATATGGAAACACAAGAGGCCACGAATAGCCAAGGCAATACTCAGTCAAAAGAACAATGCAGGAGGTATCACAATACCTGACTTCAAACTATATTACAAAGCAATAACAATAAAAACAGCATGGTACTGGCACAAAAACAGACATGAAGACCAGTGGAACAGAATAGAGGACCCAGATATGAAGCCACACAACTATAACAACTTGTCTTTGACAAAGGAGCTAAAAATATACGATGGAGAAATAGCAGCCTCTTCAACAAAAACTGCTGGGAAAACTGGTTAGCAGTCTGCAAAAAACTGAAACTAGATCCATGTATATCACCCTATACCAAGATTAACTCAAAATGGATCAAGGATCTTAATATCAGACCCAAACTCTAAAGTTGATACAGGAAAGAGTAGGAAATACTCTGGAGTTAGTAGGTATAGGTAAGAACTTTCTCAAAAACCCCAGCAGCACAGCAACTAAGAGATAGCATAGATAAATGGGACCTCATAAAACTAAAAAGCTTCTGTTCATCAAAAGAAATGGTCTCTAAACTGAAGAGAACACCCACAGAGTGGGAGAAAATATTTGCCAGCTATACATCAGACAAAGGACTGATAACCAGAATATATAGGGAACTTAAAAAACTAAATTCTCCCAAAACTAATGAACCAATAAAGAAATGGGCAAGTGAACTAAACAGAACTTTCTCAAAAGAAGAAATTCAAATGGCCAAAAAAACACATGCAGGAAATGCAAATTAAAACCACACTAAGATTCCACCTCACCCCTGTTAGAATAGCCATCATCAGCAACACCACCAACAACAGGTGTTGGCGAGGATGCGGGGAAAAAGGAACCCTCTTACACTGTTGGTGGGAATGTAAACTAGTACAACCACTCTGGAAAAAAATTTGGAGGCTACTTAAAAAGCTAGACATTGATCTACCATTTGATCCAGCAATACCACTCTTGGGGATATACCCAAAAGACTGTGACACAGGTTACTCCAGAGGCACCTGCACACCCATGTTTATTGTGGCACTATTCACAATAGCCAAGTTATGGAAACAGCCAAGATGCCCCACCACTGACGAATGGATTAAGAAAATGTGGTATCTATACACAATGGAATTTTATGCAGCCATGAAGAAGAACGAAATGTTATCATTCGCTGGTAAATGGATGGAACTGGAGAACATCATTCTGAGAACATCATTCTGAGTGAGGTTAGCCTGGCCCAAAAGACCAAAAATCGTATGTTCTCCCTCATATGTGGACATTAGATCAAGGGCAAACACAACAAGGGGATTGGACTTTGAGCACATGATAAAAGCGAGAGCACACAAGGGAGGGGTGAGGATAGGTACGACACCTAAAAAATAGCTAGCATTTGTTGCCCTTAACAGAGAAACTAAAGCAGATACCTTAAAGCAACTGAGGCCAATAGGAAAAGGGGACCAGGAACTAGAGAAAAGGTGAGATCAAAAAGAATTAACCTAGAAGGTAACACGCACGCACAGGAAATTAATGTGAGTCAACTCCCTATATAGCTATCCTTATCTCAACCAGCAAAAACCCTTGCTCCTTCCTGTTATTGCTTATACTCTCTCTACAACAAAATTAGAAATAAGGGCAAAATAGTTTCTGCTGGGTATTGGGGGGGGGAGGAGGGAGGAGTGGGTGGTAAGGGAGGGGGTGGGGGAAGGGGGGAGAAATGACCCAAGCCTTGTATGCACATATGAGTAATAAAAGAAAAAATAAAAAGAAAATAAATGGTTTTACCTGCGAAAAATCTTTTTGGATTTTCCAAAAAGAAAAAAAAAAATGTTGTCAGACTCTGACAGTGTAAGTTTTACAGGAAGTCATACCCCTAGAGTGCTTATAGGAATGCTCACTCTACTTCCCAGTCAGGAGGCACACAATAAACCCATCCATGGGCATCAGCATCACTACCACTCTTACCTGTTCATAGAGGTCAATAAGGGTTTTGTCTGGCAATTTCAGAGACTGTATAGCCTGTAAAACAGTATCCCAATGGCCACTATTAATATCAGCCACAAAACTCTCGATGCTGTCCACAGTATTCAGAGACACAGTAGTCTCCTCCTGTAAGGTAGCCAATGCCCGATGTAAACTGTTCTCCTTCAGGTACTGCATGATAAGACGGATCACACTGAAAGACAGAATGTTATTTAGCTCAAGGACCCTCACTCAACTTAAAACCCACCCCAGCTAAATTCTCCTACTCAATCATTCTCCTTTTACCACCTAGTTCCCATTTTGTTATGAGAGTAAAACTTCCCCCAAAACCTTAAGTTCAAGCTCCAAAGGAACCCCATCTCAGAGATGGGAGAATTGGGATTCAGAGAGGGAAACTCATTTGCCCAATGTCTCACAGTCAGAAAGGTAGCTGGTACCAATTGTTTCTAGGCCACAGCCCAGTTTCTTATTCTTATCATTGAACTGTTGCACACTTTAGTGAAACATTTTAAACCTATGCTAGTCAATGAAATAGAACCCTCTAAATGATCGTAGGATCTGGTCCCTTTTTTAAAATTACAACCAGAAAACATGAATTGAGATTATCTTAATGAGGATTTGTTGAACACAAATTTAAGTAGAGCTATCCTGCATGTAAAAGCAAGCAAAACTATACCTCCTACAAAAATAACACCTGTTTTTATTACCAAATTTTATACCTCACTTGCAAAATAGCATCCACCACATTACCAAATTTTCAGGGCAACTGAAATAAAAACACTGTGGACTCAATTTTCCAAGGAAAAGAGGACCCAAATTTCCACATATTAAGAGAATAAGCAACAACTGTCAACATATGACAGGAAACTCACTTATAATTGTTTTATATTTATTTGTACATTAAATATAGTTACTTATAGCTAAAACTTCTTGATCTTGGGTTTAATATCAAGTCTGATAAAGAATCTGTTTAAACAGACTGAATTCACTGGATAGTGTTGTTGTGATACTTTGTTTTCCTTCACTTTCAGTAAAGTGTATATGTAGCTCTCACTGTATTTCTATTACATTGCACTAGTATATAGAAGGCAAGAATATCCTGAATGTAAGGGACTTCAGACTGGAATTTAGCTAATTCCCTTTCCAAGAAGAAATAGTAACCAATAAAACAATAACCAAAATTATATATTTACTATATAACAAGTACTCTTTTATTTATTTATATTTATATATTTTTTGGAGACAATAGGGTTTGATCTCAGGGCCTCACACTTGCTAGGCAGGAACTCTACCAGCCCTTTTTTGTGATGGGTTTTTTGAGATAGGGTCTAGCAAACTATTTGCCCTGGGCTGGCTTCGAACTGACATCCTTTTGATGTCTTCTTCCTGAGTAGCTGTGATTACAGATGTGAGCCACCAGCACCCTGTGCAAGTACTTTTCTACGAAATTCAGATATATTGATTCACTTACTCCTCAAAACAACCCTAGGAGGTAGGTATTACTATTATCCTCAACTTACAGTTAGGATTGACAAAATAAGAAAGATAATAAATGGTAAAAGGAGGATTCAAACTGGCAGTGTGGTTCTACAGCATGTTACATGTCATGTGAAAACAAACACCCCACTCTTAAAAACTCCTGCAAAAGGGAACCAAGTCCTACTACCTGCAGCAATCCTTTTGTCTCATGACCCTTTTCCAAGGTACGTAGGCCCAGGCCTCCAAAATTCTAGTATGGGACCATCTCCCTTAGCATACTTCCATAGATTCCACTGACTTCCACTTTGGATTCCTCAAATGAGACACCTCTTCCCCAAAAGACTTCATATCTACCATTGCCAAAATCAAATTCACTACCCTCAAACAATGTAATAAAGAGCTAAAAGTTTTGGAGATAAGTTGCAATTTGAATCAAAGTTCTGTCATGGTTAAATGTGACCAAGGTCAAGTCAGTTAACACCTCTGTACTTGGTTTCTCATCTGCTAAGAAAAATGCCAACCAGATCCACAGTCCAAGAGTCTCTCTATCAGCTCAAGTATCCTGTCTGCCCACCACAGAAGGCAGCCTGGTGTCAGCCTTGAATTATAAAGATGACCCAAACTCCTCTATCTGCACCTGGTGCAGATATTGGGATATACCCAATATCCAATTCTGTTCCACACATGGATGCCACGTTTTTTGGGGAGTGGCAACTTTTTGTGCTTGACTGCTCTATCTCAAGTGTTTTATCATCTGTAAACTTCTGCTAAATGTTACCTTATTAGTGAAGTTTGACATAGCCTTTAATAAAAATATCATTTGCCCCTCTTCAAGCTCCATCTCTATCACTGTTATTTCATCTACAGCACAAAACATAATATTATAAACACACAATGCTATATAATACATTATTTTCTTTTTTTCCCTCACATACAGAATTAAAATTGTATTTTGTAGGTTATCAATTATCTCCTAGAGCAGTGGCTACAGGCTGCAAACCCAAATTTACTACCCATACAAGTGACTTGCTTGATCTTCTTTTTCTTCTATTTTTTGGGGGGTGGGAGGGGGGCTGGAGATTGGATCCAGGGCCTCACACATGCTAAGTACCCTTTACCATTGAGTTATCCCCCAATGCCTGCTTTCATTTCTTTTTTTTCTCCCTTCCTTTTTTTTTTGGCAGTACTGGGGTTTGAACTTGGGGCCTTGCACTTATCAGTTGAGCCATGTTCCCAGCCCCTTATTTCTTGGTACATTCAAGAAGTAAGGCCAGGCACCGGTGGCTCACATCTGTAATCTTAGCTACTTGGTAGGGTGAGATCAGAAGGATTGGTGTTCGAGGCCAACCTGGGGCAAATAGCTCCTGAGACCCCCCTCTTCAAAAATAACTAGAACAAAACAGACTGGAGACGTGGCTTAAGTGATATAGTGCCTGTTTTGCAAGCATGAACCCCTGAGTTCAAACCCTAGTTCTGCCAAAAAGAAAAAAAAGGACACAGTTAGGGCTGGGGACATGGCTCAAGTGGTAGAGCACTCGCCTACCAGGTGTGAGGTCCTGAGTTCAAACACCAGTACTGAAAAAAAAAAAAAAAAAGGATATTTAAAACAAAACACCTAAATGAGTTTCCCTCTACACAGGATGATGTGAAACAGAAAACTACAAAGTAAATACTATCAACTTACACATTTTGTGTACTTCAATTCACGTCTCATCTGACACGTTTTGTCAAGTAATGAGCAAAATCTAGTTCTTCAGGGACCCAGACTTGTACATTTATTCTTCATGTTGAGAAAAAGTTTAAGAAAAAAAAAAAAAACCTACTCCGGAGAGTTGGTAAAAGAACTGACTATACAACTTACAGCACGTGTAGCACAGAAAGTACTTAATAAATAGTACCTATTATTGATAATAGGACAGTAGGATACTCAAGGCTGTTAAAATAGATCGATCATGCAATCTTTTCCAGTTGCCCTGACTTTAATTATCTTAACCTGCAGCACTTCTTATCTTCCTTTGGTTCATTTTTCTTCACAATATGTTACAGCTCTCATACTTTAGTGATCATTCTCGTCCATTGTTTGCCCTCCCCCAATGAACTCTACCAGGGCAGGGCTTTTTGTCTGCTCAATCACCAGCGTCTTGAACAGAGCAGAGTAGGCGCCCTATTTGTTGAGTGAATAGACCTCCCCTTCTGCCTGGCAAGGCTTCAGATCAGATCCTCGCCCTCGGGACGCAAACGTTTGCTGATTTAGTTGTGAAGTGTTGGTAAGGACAGGTGGAGGGTGGGGTCCTAAAGAAGTCCACTAAGGACCTTCTTCAGGCCCTCCCCAACTATCATTTTTTGGCTCAATATCCAGATTTTGAAGCTCGCAGTCTCCGAGCTCCAGAAAACGAAGAGTCAGCGCCAGATTGGACCTGGTAAAAAGCTGGCCGTCCCTAAACAGTAACCGAGGGGGGGGGCTGTGTGTGTGTGTGAAAGGACAGCCAGAAGTCGACTCTGCAAAGTGCGTCTTTCCCCGACTCCGCACCGCACCCAGGGGTTCTGGGCTTCACGTTGCACAGTGGCTACTTTCTTGTGGGCCCATTAGTCGGAAGCTTCTTCGTGGGTGAGAAAATACCCTTCCAGTCCCTAGCTCCTCGGACGCCTTTTCTTGAGGACCCTCTCCGCTACCCCTCCACACCACACTGAAAACATCCGCCACCACAGGACTCACTCGGAGGACTCGATTTCGATCGACATCGCAGTATCTCTCCAGGCAGACGGCCGACTCTTCCCTCAAGGCCAGTAGCGCAATACACTAACGACACTTCCGGCGGCCGTCTGCCGTCACTTCCGCTCGGCGTAGGCGGCCCGCCCTGCAGGCAGCGTGTTGGCAAAGAAGCGGCGGGGAGTGCGTGGAGGCGTGGCCTCGAGGGTTGTGGAAGGTCGGCGTCTATTCGCCAGCGCCGGAGAAAAATTCTGCAGTCTGAAGAAGACGTCTGCTTTGACATGCTGGTTTGGGAATTTTGCCTTCATTTGATAAAGTTAGCTGATTAGATTTAAAGATTGGAATGAATTTAGAATACTTGGTTAGGAGATTAATAAGCCAATTTAACACTAGCCAACGTTTCTAGGAAGAGTTGAATTCTGTTTTTAAATTAGACCTTGAAGTCAAGGCACAGCTTCATCATCCTATCTATGAATTGTTGGGGACACGATTAGTATTTGCACACCCACTTGTTGGAAAGAGCAGAATTACTAATAGCATTTCCAACTAAGTATTAAGTTGAAAAGGGTTTCATTGGAGTGGTGCGGTTACTGGGAAAGCAATGAAACCAAAGGCAAATGTGTAAAAGGAGATTTGAGACTCCTTTTATAGACTTTAAATCATTCTTTAGTAGTGATGAATAAGCTGTGGAGATGTCAATGAATTTCATAAGTACTTTTTAAATGTTATTGACATGTACATTGTTGCGGGAAATTATGAGCTGAGATGGGAGTCTCTGAGGCAGTTTAGCAGGAGGCAATGCTTTATTGTGCCGGCACAGACCCGGCGGACTCGTGTCCAAAGGCTGAGCCCCAAGAACAAGGGGGTCTCACCTTATGTACCCTTGCAAGCAGATTGCAGAAGCAAAAAACAAAGCTCAACCCACATATGGCTGCATGTGACTTCATTGGCTATTTCATTTCCACAGTGCTATGTGACCTTCATGTTTGAGTTCTTTAAGTTTT